ATGAGACCAGCACACTCTAGGGACAACATATAAGAACAATATCGTCCAATTAGAATTGTGATTAATAGCCTAGAAAAAAAGATCACTTGTAATAAACGCAAGTCCAGAAACCCAAGTCTAGAGGAAGACAAAAAGAGCAGTGTGGCGTGTATGAGTGTGCTCTGTCCTTGTTACTTGCGAAAGTTGAACAAGGACAGAGTACGCTCTTAACGCTAAATAGCGTCTCCCCGAACGCAGCCCTTGTATCTTTACACCATGGTTTAAATATTGCGAAAGATATCATTCCAACCAGAGTTTGCATCTGGACCTTCCTTCCATCCGGGACGATCTTTATCAATTCGACCGTCAAAGCATGTAAGAATTGTAGTGAGATCCGCTATAGATTCGAACCCTGTAAGCCGGGGAGATACCTTTCGCAATAAACTATTTCGGGCTGTGTTCCAACACCACACAACGACGCGCATGAGTTTGCCGAGCTGGAAAAAATATACACTCAAAAATAGTATTGCAAACACAAAGATTCAGCCCGATCGTATAAAACGTATCTCTATCACTCAATAGTATTCGTGTAAACGATCAAGTCCACTTTTATTATTAATAAAAAAGATGAATGGTAAACGGACCATATGATATAATCCGTAATATCTGTTTAATGATCCGTAATAATTAGTTGCATTCAAATTGACGTTGAATTTCGACAATATACACGCATGGTTTGCCGCAGCTCGTACGATTCTTGATCGGTTATTGAAACAAAAATTATAGTGCGAGCCGCGTAATTATCGATGACATCGAATTATTCGTAATTGGCCCGTGGACGTCCGAACTCCTCCTCGCGCTTCGCATTTTATTTTACACGAATTGCTGTCACGCCCGTTTTATACGTCCGGTGAAACCTAGCTCGTCCATCCGCCCTAAATGATAGAGACATTAACATTCGACGTTGCGAAATTGCTTAATTAAAGGCACGTCGTACGCGCCTTTACCTCCGTCAGGAAGTTAAAGGGGCACGGGATGGCCTTTGAATTCCTAGTCGCGAGCATTTTTCTTCGCCGTTACGCCCGACACTTTTCTAATTAACGTCTCGTTCTCGGGCTAATGGCGGTGTAAGAAGCGAATGGTCACGGTACGTAAGTGAAGAACGCACTCGGGTCCGACCTCTGGCCGATGATCGATACTCTCTCTCTCTCGCCGTTGTATTTCACGCGAATTCGCATGAACGCAACGATAAGCGAATTTTGATCGCCGGTATACAAATACAGCACTCGTTCATGATAAGCTGCGCTAAAACCAGCCGGTTTTGCATACCGTTATTGCACACGCACGCGTTGTTCCCCCCCCCCCCTCCTCCTCCTGCGCCCCGTCTAGCATTCATATCCCGGTTTATAGGAAACTGCATATCGTGCGAATACAATCGGCCGCGCTTTAATAGCGGACGATCATGCGCCCATCTAGCAAGGTGATTAATTGAACGTCATTGACATTTACCTAATTGTTAATACATGCGCGCTCGCGCACCATTAAGGCATTAACTTTTCATATTACGTTTTTCAATCAGTCCGCGAACTCGGTCGCGCGCGAGCAATTCACGACGTACTTTACGCTCGAAAATTAGAAAGCTGCAGCGGCTAACGATCTACACTGCGGGATTCTCATTAAATCGAGACTACAAATTCGTCCAATCTATCAGAGAATCCACTATTGAAATTTACTGCGGTGAAAAGAGACGCGCCAGCGTATGGATTCTAATATAAATTGACCAGTCTGGCAAATTCGTTATATCCCGAAAAAGTACACACGCGCGCGCGCACACACACACTTTCTTGACAGTCCCTTTCATCACGCGAAAAGCGATTGATAACAAACCCTATCGCGGCCAAAGGGAATCAAAGGATCGAAAGGCCAGCTTTAATACGGGTATAGACTCGCGCTAAAAATTCTAACTTTGTCCGGAAGCAAATTTTGTTTCAAAGGGCAACCGATATCCTCTCCTGCCCGCCCACCCTCCGCCCCGTTCGCCGCCCTAACACCCCCGCTGCCGTTTGATCTGGCGAAATCCGGACCGCGTCAGTCAATAGAGACAGCGAAATGGGG